GAGCATATGAACCCCGGAAGTTACTTGCTAGGTCTGACACGGAGAATAAATTCTCACGAAGACGTCGCTTTCACTCCCACTTAAAAGGGACAACTCAATTATAGAGCTTTATGTTATGCAATGCAAGTGTTGTGTGTGAGGAGAAATGTTCATACCTCTGACAAAATAACTAATAAAATAAAATACTTGCAAATAAAACATATAAATATTATAAAAATAATAAATACATAAAAAATTTGAAAAGAAAGAATTAAAAATTAAATATATGAATTTTTAATTTTTAGTTAATAGAGACAATTTATAATTAAATTTTTAAAAGTTTGACCAGTCCCCAGCGGAGTCGCCAAGCTGTCGTAACCGGTTTTCGTCCGGGCACGAATATATTTAAATTTGGCGGGAAAATTGATGTGAATAAATGGTTTTGAAAATAATTTGGGAGTCGCCATCGGCCTTTTGGGTCAGATAGGTCGAATACCTAAAAAAAATATTTTTTAAAAGAGTTTTTAAAAAAAACATCAATTAAAAAATTAAACTGATATGCGTTTATAACCAAAAATTCGTTCTTTTTAATAATAACAAGGGATTCGTGGTCGGTTACGTTTAGGGAAGGATTAGCACCCCTACAACGCCCAAAATTGGTACTTTTTAATTATAAATTGTCTATATCATTAAAATTTTAAAAATTCAAAAATATATTTAATTTATAATTCTATTATTTTCAAAATTATATTTATTTAAAAATATCCGAAAAGAACTTCTAGGTGCCTTAAGACAGCTCTTTTCTTTGATATTGATAAATATTAATTTAAATAATATTGTTTATTTTTTAATTTTTTAAAATATCAGAATAGGACATCCAGTTGTATTAAGACTGTCCTTTTCTTTGATAAAAAATAAATATTTAAAAATTATTATTTATTATATATTTATGAATATATAAAAATATTTAACCATATAAAATAAAAAATATTACTAAAACAATGTATTTTAAGCAGTAAAATTAAAACATATAAAATAAATAACTAAATTATAATAAAAATAAAATTAAATCTAATTCCTAATTAATTAAATATTTTATTTTTTATTTTAATAATTTAGTGACCAAAACAAAATTATCTAAAATTCAAATTTTATAATAAAATTAATTAAAAATATGAACTAGGGATAAAAATTTTATTTATTAAAATTAAGGGATTAAATCTGTCATTTATCCTAAATATATTATTTTAATAAAAGGGACTAAAATGAATAAAATTAAAATTCGAAGACTAAATTAAAATTATTACAAATTCAGTTTAGTGACCAAAATGTAAATTTTACAAATACGAAGGACTGCGGCCGGGGTTTAACTATTTCGTAATTACGCGAATAGCCCTTCCCAAAACGGCGTCGTTCGGGAAGGGCTATTTAAGCCTAAAATCAGCTGGCCCGAAGGGCCAGCCTCATTTCTCCTCTCTTCCCTCTCTCTCTCTTTTCTGAGAGAAAGAAATTCTCTCGCTTCTCTCTAGAAAAGAGAGAAGCTCTCCGGCCGGCCGCCGTTAGCCACCGTCAATACCACCGCCGGCCGCCATATCCGGTGGCCGGAAATTACAAATCCCACCCCAAATTAAAGCCTGGTTTTCCCTAAAGCTAGATCCGTAGGTTTTTTAGCCTAAAATACTACTGAAATGCGTAGATCTAAAGTTTATACCTTCGACCTTTGACTTTCCGATGGCTCCAAAAAGGTTCTGATGACCAACGGTTCCCTCGGTAAGTTTTTTTCTTCCTTTTTCCTTTTGTTTTTGCTCTGTTGTTGTAGACTGGGATCGCTGGTAGTTGTTATTTTCTCTGTTTTTTTTTTTCTCTGTTTCTGTCCCTCCTCTTTTCTTGCAGATGGGTGGTGGCTTTTATAGCCACCACCGGTGTAGCCGTCGGACCGGTCCGAAGAAGGGCTCTCGGTGAGTCACCGGACTACCAGTGGTGACTCACCGAGTAGCCATGGCGTGGACGGCTGCCATTTTATCTTCTGGAGTCTTCGGTTGGGACGTGGCAGCGGCGTGGCGGCGAGAAGACTGTCGGCAGCCGCGTGGAAGCTGGGGCGGCGCCGCGTGGCCCTAGGGTATCAAACCCTAGGGTTTCTCTCTGGAACCATGTGGACCGTTGGATCGTGCCAGATCCAACGGTTGTGATGAGGCGGCTGAGGATGATTAGGGTTAGGAAACCCTAACTGGAAACCCAAATATTTAGGGTTTCTGGTTGGATTTGGACCGGCTCTGGTTGGTTTGTAACTGGGCCGGTCCAGTTGTAATTGGGCCTGTAATTATTATTATGTATTTAATATATTTAATATAAATTAATAATAATAATAATAATAATAATAATAATAATGATAATAATATTAATAATAATAAGGATAATAATAATATTAATAATAATAATATGGATAAAAAAAATTTTAGTATCTTCAGGCAGCTCCGGTTTATTCATGTTCAGCGTGATAGCAACAGACCTGCGGACGCTTTGGCTAAACTCTCTTGGTCTCTCCCGTTTGGTATTGACAGGTTTGCAGAGCCGCTTGCACCTGTTCGTTCTTTCCTGCATGATGATCTAGCCTCGATGGCTAGGAACTAAGCCGATCTTCTTCCGTTGTACTAAAAAATTGACTGGCGTACAATACAAAATTCACAATTTGTGAATAATACAAGAACAAATAACAAAATTAATCCTAAAAATTCTATAAATCTATATTAAATATTGATTTGATAGATATTATCATTACTATAAAAAGTTTGAGGACATTTGAGCACACAACTTCCTTCTATCATGAATTTGAAGTGAAATTACCCTTGACGGACTTTGTCTAGCTTTTCCACTTTCTGGTACTATATAATTTATAATAAAATTTAAATGGAATATTGATCGAATTGATAACGAATAAAATCTTCATTCTCTTTATAAGAGTGATATACAGATATTAGTTCATTGATTAGTTAGTTAAGTTTCTAATTATTCAATTAACCGTTACAATGATCGATTTTGTTTTATACTAATCATATCTATTTTATAACTTTAAATAAAAACTCTTTACATAAATAATCAAGTATAAAATAACTTCAAACAATATAATTAATTAATTAATTAAAGTATAATTAATTAATTAGACTCTCTAACAATAACCGTCAATACCTAATAAACCTTATCAAAAGCAACAGGCTAGCGGGCGTCCTCCCTTCTAGGGCTGTCAATGAGACGAAACAGATCGTGAGTTACTCGAGATCGACTCGGTCAAGGCTTTATAAATACTCGGATTGAATGAACTCAACTCAAACTCGAGCTCGACTCGAATTCTTAACGAGCCGAAACGAGCTACTTGATACTCAACTCGAAAAGCTCGTGAGCAACTCGAAAATATAATATATTAAGATTTAAAAAAAAATATTAATAATATTAATATTTGTGTGTTGATTTTTTTAAAAAAAAATACAATAAGGCTTTCATGTATTTAAAGTTCAAGTTCGAGTTCGAGCCTTTTCGAGCTGCTCACGAGCTTCAGTTCAAGATTTCGAGTTCGAGTCGAGCTTAAATTAAGCTATCGAGTTTTCGAGTCGAGTTGACCTCTATTTCAGAGTTTTCGAGTCGAGCTCAACAAAACTCGAGCTCGACTCGGCTCGTTTACACCCCTACTCCTTTCTCATCTTTGTTACCTATCGGTAAGCAAAAATTTTCATCCATCATATGTAAATCACAATTCTTAAGCTCTTTATTTTCTCCTCTTTTCAAAAATTCACATGAAAAAAAACACTGTTTCTCCAAAGCAAAAAATAATAAATAAATTTTAATTATCGTAAAATCCAATCTCTTCAACGTCTTTGCTACAAACACGACGAATCCTTCGATCTGAGCGGTAGAACTTCTCTTCTCTTTTATGTTGTTTTTCTTGTAGAGTTTGCTTGAGAACATTGGTTTTTGTTTTGTCAACTCTTTTATTGTTTACAATTTAGTCATTTTCTCTTTGTTTTTCTGTTTCAGAAACTATTTTTCATTTAGCCTGCCTTTATCTGCACGTAATGTGAATTTACAAGTGAAGTTCATTTTGGTGATGATCTGTTGAGGACGTGAGGGGAATAAAAAAAGATTAAAGAAGTTTATTTCGTTTGGTGTTTTTCAATTTGGTTTTGAGATCTGCTTCGTGCTTAATTGTTTGGTTTAAAATAACTGTGTTTTTTGTTGATTGCAGGAATTCCTTGCTTCAGATAAATCGAAGTTCAAGCATGATTTGTTGGTGTGTTAAAGTTTGTGAAAAAAACATACTTCTTATTGCATAAATGATAACTTTACATCTCTATTTATACAAGTCATAAAACTACCAACTACCCTATAACCAATTATCTAACAAACTAAACTAAGCTGATAATATGTCACAACTTCTCTCAACATGGTGAGATCAAAGAAAAAATTAAGAAAAGAGAAAAAAAAGCTTATGTTTTAATTAGAAAAAAGTGAAAAAAGATGAAGCGGTCTAGGGATGAGGTTTACATCGGCGGTTCTCAACTTAAAAGACGTGGTTTCTTCTCGAGGAGAAGGGTAAAATGAAACTTAATCTTCTTTTTATATTAGTATTGTTTTTGGTCTGATTTCGTGTTCACGTTCTGAAAGTTACAATGAGTAAGTTTGAAATCTCAGAACATGGAAAGTACGCCTGAATGTGTAGTCCAGGGTAATCATAACTTTTGAACTTCTTTGGAAACAATGGGCATCTATGATGTTATGTTAAACAAGCTTTTTGGGACATACTCATGAATCTCCATTTTCAGTTGCTTGTTGATAGTTCCTTTGATTCCCCTAGGATAATACGGTATGACAATCACTGAGTAGTTGATAAGTTGTTTTTTTTTTTGCTAATATTTGATGAAAATATGTTTACAAGGACACTCTATTGGTCTGAGATATTAGTATTATGAGACAAAAGCTATTCTTATAGGTACTTAACTCCTATGGGTGTAAAGTATTGGGAACTTCATTCTACAAGATGCCTAACGATATATGACTCCTAATTTTGTGAGCTTACAAGTCATGATAGTTGGAGTGGTATTGATGGAATGATTGTAGATTTACATTCTATCTAATTAGTTGACGAGAAGTATCTATATGCTGCTATTTCCTTTGTGAAATCTCATACAATTTTCTGTAATATATCGCATAAGTAATTAATATTAAGTCATGCCTGCTTATATGCAGATTCTTGAAATGGACACTTACAGATATCACGGACATTCCATGTCTGATCCTGGAAGCACCTATCGAACCCGTGATGAAATTTCTGGTGTTAGACAGGTAGATGTTCAATCATGATATACTTTTCCAGGGATTCGTTTCTTGAATATTTTATGTTGTATTTTAATCAAGTAATCTAAAACTGACATTCTAGATGTGATGTTTCTAGGAGCGTGATCCAATTGAAAGAATTAGGAAACTAATATTGTCTCATGACCTAGCTAGTGAGAAAGAGTTGAAGGTATTTATAACTAATTTATGAAACTATCAGAATTGAAATCCTGTAAGAATTTTGAAGTGAGAGACATATAAAAGTAATGGGAAAAATTTCAGGTCATTGAGAAGGAAGTAAGGAAAGAGGTAGACGATGCAATTGCTCAAACTAAGGTAAGACATTTTTCTGTTGCCTTCATTTTGATTTAGTGATTATTTATAAGTTTTTTTTCTAGTTGTCAGCGTATATGGTAACTTGTGAATTTCATTAATGAGTGAGCTCTCTTTGTCCTTTTCTTCTTAAAGTAACATTGCTATCAGATAAGAATGGTATCCTTCAAATGTAGAGCTTTGCTAAAACTGATCATCACGAATCTGTTCTGGAAAATTAGTTAATCCAAACTAGTCAAATTGTTAGCCCATTTATTTCTTACCAAGTTCTCCATGCAAAATGGGCAAGAAATTACCTGATGGAAGCAGGTAGTCAATGGTTTCATGATTAAGTTTGTTCAGAATCCATCATGATGATCCTAGATGCTTTTACAATAAAGTTGAAGATCATAGGTAGGAACCATGACTTAAAATACTTTTGTTGCTTAATCAAGGCATTAATATTTCTTTTGTGTATTTGTGCCTAAAAGGGAAATGGATTTTGGCCTCATGCTCAAACATTGAGGTTAATACATAGGAATAGGTGTGGCCATCATCATATAAAATTTTTCAATCATCTGAAAACAATGCCACAAACCTACTTAAGATATTGTTATCAAAATTTTCTGGCTGAGTCAAACATAGGGGAGTTTAGATTGGAGTAGACTGTATACTTGGCAAGAACTCTAGTTGAACTAAACCTTCAGTAGTTGAAATGATTTCAGCTAACTTTGGATTTTTACTAGAATTCCTGTTATTCAAGGCAATGAACAAGGCAAAAATCACAGTTAGATTCAGCTAAAGAACCATTCTTGAAGTTTGACTGCTTGAATTAAAACTTTGGATAATGAGTTAGTTAAATGATAAGAGTTTTAAGCTGGTTCCGATGGTCTTCCACTTATGGGAGTTTTAACTCAATTAAAGCACATCCCCTTAGTCAGATCTACCATGAAAATCATATATTTATATAGTAATAAATGTACAAGAGGAAATATGCTGGTAATTTATAGGAACATGCTAACTTGCCCTTGCACTCTTGATTGCCTAAAAGGTATAGGGATTGGCATCACTTTCTTGCCTTGTGTTAAGGCTTTTTTCGGTGTAACCTGAGTTTACCAAGATCTAGTACCTTTAGCATTCTGCAAGGTGGAGTAGGATTGCATCTTATGGAACTGAACTAAAACCTCGAGAGAGGCAATGTTGGCATAAAAAACTTCTAGTAAAGCCACATGCTATTTCAGAAAGATGGAAAACATATTGCATCTATTCTGAGAGTACTAAAAGTACATTGTACTTTCTGACTGCACACGGGCATCACCTGGACTATCTAGCATTGTTAGTTAGAATTCAAAGGTAGATTTTTGGTTATGAAAAGAGATTTCAAGGCTATTGCATGTCAAGGGTTTCATCTACAATATTAAAACATGATTCCCAGTCTTGTCACTAATATGAAGATAAAAGTAAAACTGATAGATTTGTGTTATTAATTGACATGTTTGACTTTATTGTATCTGTAGAGAATGGAATAATTATTTTACCTTTGATTATGGGGAAGAATTGTTCCAGTTTAGGCGTGTGCAAAAACCGTGGGTTTAACTTTAAGCCTATGATTTGTTAAAATATTAAGATGTGAATGTATGTATGTATGAATGAGAATGTGAGTGCATGCATAAGACGGTTATAACTGCTTCTATTAATGCTTCTGTTAAGGTATTGTTAGGAGTTAGTTCAGTCTGTTATAACTGCTAAGTCAGCTGAGCAGTGCAAGCTTGCATATATATAGCTGGTTGATTCAATGTAAAGATAATATACTTTCTGTTCATTCACTATCAAAAACGTGAATCTCAACATGGTATCTTTCGCTAGACGATCCAGGCGGTCTTCTCGTGTTCTCGCTGCTTAAAGAAAGGTTCATCATGGATGTTCTTTCGCTAGACGATCCGGGCGGTCTTCTCGTGTTCTCGCTGCTTAAAGAAAGGTTCATCATGGATGTTGATCGGTTGTCGTCAATGGAGCCTGTATCAAGGAATGCAAAGACATTCTCCAATAAAAAGGTTAATGTCATTCTTGATGACGCAAACTTTCTGCTATGGAAACAGCAAGTGTTGCTCACTGTTCGTAGCCACAGATTGGAGAGGTTACTCACAGGCTCGATGTATGTTCCATCACAGACAGTGCTCAATGAAGCTGGTGAAGATGTACCGAATGAATTGTATGAAGAGTTCGTTGAACAGGACAGTGCTCTAGCGTCCTGGTTTTTGTCAACAATCAGTCCTCAATTGTTACCTCAGTTTGTGGGCGCTAAAACTGCCTCAGCAGTCTGGAACACGGTGCTCCAGTTCTTCTCAAGTATATCCACGACTGTTGTCATTAGTCTAAATTACAAGCTTCAATCACTAAAAAAGAGAGATGAATCAATGTGAGTGTATCTTACTAGAATTAAAGAGGTTTGTGATGCTCTAGCATCATATGGAAGTGTTTTATCTCAGGCAGTACAAGTTGCTAGTATCTTGAAGGGATTGTCTCGCGAATACCAACCTTTTGTGGCGGTTATAACTACTATGCGCGAATCAATATCACTTGATGCTATTTACACCATGTTGTTGGATGCTGAAACTCAACTCGCTGAGTTTTGTGATCCACTCGAGTCACTTCCTATGAGTGCTCATATTGCACAAGGTCAGATGTCGAGCAAAGCTGTTGATCAATCTGAGCGCTCTGCAGCATCTCGTCAGACGTATTATCGTGGTCGATCGACTGGTCAAGGAATGGGTGGAGCTCGGTTACAGTGCCAATTATGTGGAAAAACCGGCCATCTGGTTGATCAATGTTGGCATCGGTTTGATGAAGACTTTCCTGGAGTTATAGCTAATAGTAATGTTTACTCTAAGAATGAGTCAAGTACTGCTTATTATGCTGCCAATAATAACAGAAAAGATAATGGCTGTGATTGTGGTGCTAGCTAAAAGTTCAGTTTTAATAAATCACAAGCAGATCATGAGCAATGGATTGTGGACTCGGGAGCCACACATCATGTCACTTCTGATGACATGAACATTTCTCAACCTGTGGATTTCAACAATCCAGGTAAATTAACTATTTGTGATGGTGTTGCATTAGATGTTAAGTTTGTTGGGAAATCTTCTTTGTATATACCCACTCGCGTGTTGTTACTAACTGATTTACTGCATGTACCAAGAATAACCAAAAATTTATTATCGGTGTCAAAGCTTGCTAGGGATAACAACATTTTCTTTGAATTCCATGCACATGAGTGTTTCATTCGTGACAAGAAGACTGGTGCAGTATTGCTTAGAGGAAATGAAGATGGTGGTTTATATTCATTTGCAGTTGATTCATCAACTTCAGATAGTTCTAAGACAGTAGCTTATGCAACACAATTCTCTATGACTGTGTATGATTTGTGGCATCAGCGTTTGGGACACCCCTCGTATGATTGCCTAGTAAAAGTGTGTAAGGAATTTAATGTAATCTTGCCTTCCAGCATTAATAAAACATGTGTTGCCTGTCATTTAGGAAAAAACCATAAATTACCTTTTTCTGCATCTACAACAGTGTATTAAACTCCTTTTCAGTTAGTATTTACAGATCTTTGGGGACCTCCACATGTAGTCTCGAATGGCTACAAGTACTATGTGACATTTGTTGATACGTGTACCAGACATTCATGGTTGTATTTGTTAATATACAAGGCTCAAGCAGTTCATGTATTTGAAATGTTTCAGCAGATGGTCATGGTTCAGTTTGATCTACCTATAAAGGCTGTTCAGAGTGATTGGGGAGTGGAGTATCGCAGGCTGTCTAATTATTTGTTGAGGAAAGGCATCACACACAGGCTTACATGTCCACATACATCGGAGCAAAATGGAGTGGTCGAGCGTAAGCATCGACATGTGATAGAGCTTGCTTTAGTTTTGCTTGCCCAAACATCAATGCCTGTTAAGTTTTGGGCATATGCAGTGGTGACTGCAGTTCACCTGATAAATAAACTTCCTACAAGAATATTGTAAGGAGTCTCGCCATTCGAGAAACTCTATCATAAGAAACCAAAATATAGGCAGTTAAAAGTATTTGGATGCCTCTGTTTTCCTCATTTAAGACCCTATTTAAAGAACAAATTGGATTTCAGGTCAAAGCCTTGCACGTTCTTAGGCTACAGTATGCAACACAAAGGTTTTCAGTGTCTTGCTGAAGATGGTAGAGTTTACACAACGAGACATGTGGTGTTTGATGAAAGGCAGTTTCCTTTTGCAGGGAAGAATGGTCATGTGGATGTTACATCTAACATGAGGAGTTGTTCTAGCCCACTACAGGTTGTGACTGATGTAACTAAGCTTCTTAGTGAAAAAGGAGTTGAAGAAGTTGGTCATAATTCAAAGGTCAGTAGTAGTGGCAGTTCTAGTAGTTCGTTTGGTAACTTGCTTGGTGTCAATTCTGGATCTGGACTAATCGAGAATACAGGTGGTGTGCAAGATGTTGAGCATCAAGCATCAAATGAATTTTTGCATATTGGTCAAGACACTGGTGGTGATGAGCAAGATCACGATGTTAGAACTCAGGATAATGATCAAGCTGTTAGCACAGGGAATATGATTGATGCTCAAGTAAACACACATCCTATATTGACAAGAAGTAAATGCGGAATATTCAAGCCAAAAGCTTATATGACTGCAGCTGTTGATGAAGTTCCAGGTGACATTTATGAAGCAATCAAAGTCTCCAGTTGGAAAAAAGTTGTTCAAGCTAAACTTGCTGCATTGCAAAGGAATAATACCTGGTCACTTGTTAAACTGCCTGCAGGGAGTGAGATTGTTGGTTGCAGGTGGTTGTTCAGAGTTAAAAAGAGGCCTGATGGTTCTGTTGAGGGACATTGTTACTAAAGGGTACTCCCAAGTTCCTGGTTGTGACTTTAAAGAAACTTACAGTCCTGTTGTTAAATTTTCTACATTGAATGCAGTGCTTTCAATTGTTGTTGCAAAGAACTGGCCTTTGAGACAAATTGATGTGAATAATACGTTTTTAAACGGGGATTTGACTGAGGATGTATTCATGCAGCAGCTACCTAGATTCGAGGAATATGCTAATGATGGTAGTTTACTTGTTTGCAAACTTAATAAAGCGTTGTATGGATTGAGGCAAGCACCAAGAAATTGGCATGATAAACTAAAAGCTAGTTTAATTCAGTTGGGCTTTAGTGAATCTCGAGCTGATGTATCGTTGTTTGTTAAAAATGATGAAGGCTGATGTACATACATGCTTGTTTATGTGGATGATATTATCCTTACAGGTGATTCATCTCGTATCATTGACAGCGTAGTGCAAGCTTTGAACCAGGAGTTTTCTTTGAAGGATTTAGGAGAGTTGTCTTATTTCTTGGGTATTGAAGTCAAAAGGAGTAAGGAATGTTTGGTGTTGTCTCAAAAAAAGTACATAAGTGAACTGTTAGAGAGGACAAATTTGTTTCATGCAACACCCACAGCTACCCCAATGGTATGATCACCAAAGCTGACTCAGGAGGCTGGAGAATTATTGGCTAATGCACGAGAGTATCGAAGCATTGTTGGTGCTTTGTTATATGTTTGTCACACGACCGGATGTGGCGTTTAGTGTGAACAAGGCTGGCGTTTAGTGTGAACAAGGCTGCTCAGTATATGCATGCCCCGCGTGAGTTGCATCTAGCTGCAATAAAGAGGATACTTCGATACCTATTTGGAACGTTGAACTATGGACTTACATTTTCTGGCACTGGAAGCAAGTCATTTGAAGTAGTGGCATTTGCTGATGCTGATTGGGGTGGCAGTCTTGATGACAGAAGATCAGTGCCTGGACATATGGTGTTTCTTGGTGCATGCCTTGTAGTTTGGTGTTCAAGGAAACAAAAAACTGTCTTCAGATCTACAATGGAGGCTGAGTATCGAAGCATTGCTGAGGCTATTGCTGAAGTTACATGGGTGAGTTCATTATTGGGTGAACTAGGAGTAGTAAACAGAAATACTCTTGTTATTTGGTGTGATAACACCAGTGCTTTTGCCTTAAGCACAAACCCAGTATATCATGCAATGTCAAAACATGTAGACATGGATGTGCATTTCATTCGTGAGAAAGTTACATCAAAGCAACTTCAGGTGAACTATGTTCCAACATGTCATCAGGCAGCGGACGTATTCACCAAGCCATTGACAAAGGGAGCTTTTGAAGTATTCAGAGATCAAGTGCGTGTTCTACCTTGTCAATGAAGGAAAAAGGAGTTGAAGAAGCGGGGAGAATGTTAGAATATTAAGATGTGAATGTATGTATGTATGAATGAGAATGTGAGTGCATGCATAAGATGGTTATAACTGCTTCTGTTAGTGCTTCTGTTAAGGTGTTGTTAGGAGTTAGTTCAGTCTGTTATAACTGCTAAGTCAGCTGAGCAGTGCAAGCTTGTATATATATAGCTGGTTGATTCAATGTAAAGATAATATACTTTCTGTTCATTCACTGTCAAAAACGTGAATCTCAACATGATTCAATTGGTTGCTGAGACCAATCCATGGATAAATTCATTCTTGAAATCCAGAAGAGCTTTAATGCTTGCATTTATCGATAAAAATGGTGTCCATCAAGTATCTTCTATATAGTTTTATCCATTTCCACTGTTGTCAACTTAGGTTATGGATGAATGGTCATCAAACCAGTGATCTTTAGCATTTATGGATGGATGAATGTCCTTAACAACATTGGATAAAGAGTAATAATTTTTAATATTAATGAATGAAATTAGTTTGTTATTTAATTCTTAAATTTTAAATATAATATTAATTTAATTCGGATAAAATATCAATTTAATTCTTGCATACGATGGAGAATCTCTCGGTGTTGACTATTACTCTCCAACATGATCGATTGTCATCGATTATTATTGCTGGCAACGTAGAACAAAGTTAATTAAATAATATAAAAGATATTTAAATTTGTCAATGGAGAAATTGAATATCCTAACACGTTATATCACGTAAAACAAAATTGCATCCGCTTAAATACATCTTTATGTTATACAATTAAAATTAATTTCATTTATTTAAAGAACTTTTTAATACTATTCTCATAATTAGTTATTAAATGGGTATAGTTCCCTTATAATTGCCTTATCTGACCACCTATGTCGGTGGTAATGAAGTCAGTCTGCATTGCCCCAATGGAATATTAATTTTCTACTTCTATCACTGCAACTCTTGTAACCATGCAAATAAAATTCAGAGTATCCTATGCCAAATATACCTACTTCCCCCTTCTTCCAATAAATTTCTTAATTAGTCCCTTAACCTTGTTTTACCTGACCAAACCCACACGTGCAATTAGTTAAATAAAACACCATATTTCTCACTCCCATTAACTTTTAAATTAAACAGAGTTTTAAGTTTGTCTCCATTGCTCTCTCTCTCTCTCTCTCTGGTGTCATGAACAGGTCAAGTCTTCTCTCTCGCATACACTGACGGTGCTTGTTTATTGGGTAACTTTTCATGGAAATTGCAGTGATTTTGTGCTTATAATTCACCAAGTTGTTGGTTGGTTGGTTCACGAGATCTCAACTCCAACAACTCCTTTTTTTTATTTACAAACCATCGAGTGCCCACCCATTCTTTATGTTTGTATTATTAGTTTTCTTTGGTTTTAGTCTGACTATAATATGATCAAGTAGTATAAAAGGTTACGTGAATAAACATTTTTACTTGTTAAATTATGTAAACATGACATGAACACCCATTGAATTTTAAATTGTAAAATTATCGCAAAATATATGAAGTATTGGACAAACTAAAACTGATATATGACAGAATCGTTGACATGACCCTTATTATGTTAACGTGATACATTAACGTAATAATTACTATGCTGATGCAACAAAAATCATATATGAATGATAATATGGTAGAGAATTTTGATTGATTTTTTTAATTTAAATTGATATATTTTTGAAAGACTATTAATAATTTGATAATGAATGTTCGTATGTCTCCTGCAAACATAGTGTTCAAATCCGAAACTTCAAAAGGTAATAATAATTCTTTTATTATCGAAACTATTTGATTCTTGCATTAAATACGAGTGCGAGGACTAAAATAGACCATAAGCCTATATGAAAATATAGAGTTACTTCAGGTTATGCCTAAATTCTGACTAATTTTTCAGGATAAATAGAGCTTGTTTCTCCTTCCCTTTTTGACCTCTTTGGGAGGGCACATTGTTGATCCTCCTTTGTTAATTAATAAAACATGGATTGTGATAATAAGTTTTGGGAAAGCTTTAAGATGATCAAACGAAAATTGCAAACTAACACATGTTGCTACTTGTCAATAGTTTTTTAGAAAATAACGTACCAAAACTCTCTAGCTAGTTTGTTTACTTTTGCATATAAAATTTTAGCAAATAAATAAAGATTGAAAGCATTGACAAAAAAAAGGGGATAACATGGCAAAAAATAAATAGGAGAGGGAGCACGTCTGATCACATGGGGGTGGTAAATGCCAGCCACGATACATGAACAAGGCATTAGGCATAAACCAGCTGGATGCTTCGGCTGCGTAGCTGTCACTTAATTAGTGGAAGCCCCAGGCTCTGATGTGCGAGGGATGGGCATGGGATTAATAAAGAACGAAGGTCATAGTTTGGGGATTAAATTAAAATGTTCAAAAGTTTAAGGATTAATTCGGAATGATATCATAGTTTAGGGATAAAATTAAAACATTTAAAATGTTAGAAATCAATTTAAGATGAGGATCATACCTTGAGGACATGGGATGCAATTAATTCTCTCTCCAAATATATCGTAAATATATATTTTGGTACTTGGACTTGTTCTTATGGTGTAATTTGGTATTTATATTATTTTAATCTAATTAAATATTTATTTGATATTTAAATTTTTAATCTAATTAAATACATTAATTTAATTTTTTTTATTAATATAAGGTATAAGTGACGGTATCTGTTATAAAAACTTAAGCATTGGATAGTGAATGTTAAAATAAATTATTTACCATCATAACGAGATAATATAATGTAGGTGTAAAGGTCTTCTTTAAATATATAGGGTAAATTATGTATCTAGTCACTTAATTATTATTTTAATTATATTATCGCCATTCAACTATTTTTTTAAATTATACATAACATTACGTTTTGGTCACTCGCCTTTAAAAATAAATAAAAATGCTAAACATAACAATTTTTCCCAAATGAGAATGTGACATTATTTTATGATGACATGCTAGCATCATCATTAATTTTTAAATTGTGCGTGACAAAAATAAAGTCAAAATATAACTTTTGGTATAATTTTAAAAAATAATAAGAGTAAATTACGTATTTAGTACCTAAACTATCAATTTTAGTCCATTTTAGTATAAACTTTCATTTTTTTCAAAATCATACCTAATGTTTAGTTATTTTGGTACCCTATTCAAAATATAACGTTAAGTTTTGAATTTTCTTTTTAAAGTTTAAATACTAAAATAGACCAAAAGTGATAGTTTAAGTAAACTCGTTAACCTTTTAGCGGTGGGCACTAAAATAAAACAAAAAACTAAACGTTATATATGATTTTGAAAAATGAAAAGTTTAGGTACTGAAATGGACTAAAATTAATAGTTAGGTATTATGAATAATATACCCAAACAATAAATGAAAGGACAAAACTGAACAAAATAATTTAAAGCCATGCTTAAATAGCTAATTAGATAAATAAAAATTTATAAATGAAAAACCTAGCTGTAAATTATAATTTTGAACCTAGATATATACTTTTCCAACATATAATAATCAAATATCTCTCTTAATAGTAAATAAAGTAAAATGAATATTTTATTATAGGAATTCGTAAAATAATTTGACATAACATTTTCTTATCTTACTTTTTTTATTATTACTTATTACGTCGGTTATAAATTTTTTAACTCCACTAATAAAATTAAAAGCTATCCTCTCCCTCTGGCCTCTGTTATTCCCGTAAGGAAAAAACGGGAAAGAGCCAACAAATTTTCCTACTCCCCAAACACTGTTTTCCCTTTATTTACCTTCCTTTCCTTTCGGGTATTTCATTTCATTTCCCTTCATCACTAAACCGCGTTTCGCTTTGAATGAAACCCAAAATAATAACAGTGTTGATTAACCCAAAGTCTTGAAACTTGAAAGCTCTGTTGCTTAATCTTTACCAGCATCACTTTCCTTCTCGTTTTCCCTTTCGCCGCAATGCCAATCATCTGAAATTTCTTTATCAAAGGAACTCAGAAGTGAAAGCTAAAACTTAAACAGAACACACTTGTCTCTCTTTTTCTTGTTCTGTTTTTTGGAAAAACGATAATGCGTTCCGTTTTCTATGTTGCCGCCGTTTTGCTTCTTCATTTCTCGCTAACGGCGACGTTTTGCGACGGTATTCGGACCATTGGAGGGGGAGATGGGTCCCGGTTCGAGTTCTCGGAGGCACCGGAATACCGTAACGGGGTGGAATGTCCGGTTTCTGCCAACAAAGAAGCGGTTTCCTCTTGCGATCAGGATTTGGTTCACCTGGCGATGACGCTGGACTCCGAGTACTTGCGTGGATCGATCGCCGCCGTCCACTCCGTCCTCCGCCACGCTTCGTGCCCCGAAAACGTCTTCTTTCACTTCATTGCCGCCGAGTTCGACCCGGCGAGTCCGAGAGTCTTGAGCAAACTCGTCCGATCCACGTTCCCTTCACTCAACTTCAAAATCTACATCTTCAGGGAAGACACGGTAATCAACTTAATCTCTTCTTCAATCCGTCAAGCCCTCGAGAACCCACTCAACTACGCCCGGAACTACCTCGGAGACATCCTAGATCTCTGCGTTGACCGAGTGATTTATCTCGACTCGGACCTGGTCGTCGTCGACAACATTCACAAACTCTGGAACACGACCCTGACAAACTCACGTGTGATTGGAGCACCCGAGTACTGCCACGCCAACTTCACAAAGTATTTCACGGACACGTTCTGGTCCGACCCGGTGATTTCCCGGGTATTCCATTCGAGGAAGCCGTGTTATTTCAACACGGGGGTTATGGTGATGGATTTAGTCCGGTGGAGAGAAGGGAATTACAGGAAAAAAATAGAGAACTGGATGGAAATTCAGAGGAAACGAAGGATTTACGACTTGGGTTCGTTGCCGCCGTTTCTGCTCGTATTTGCCGGGAATGTGGAAGCCATTGATCACAGATGGAACCAACATGGGCTCGGCGGCGACAATGTACGAGGTTCTTGTCGGTTGTTGCATACAGGTCCGGTGAGTCTGTTGCATTGGAGTGGGAAAGGGAAGCCCTGGGTTCGACTGGATGCCAGAAACCCATGTCCGGTCGATCATCTCTGGAAACCGTACGATCTTTACAAGGGAGGTTTAATCAAGGATCAGTCTTCTTTTTCTTCTTCGATATTCTTGGGATTTTCTAGTTATTTGTTATGATTCTTTTTCTTTGTTTCTTTGTTCTGCATACAGATTGAATTCTTTTTCTTTTCTGGGTCATTATTTTCATATGGGTATCAATTCCTTTCGTTCATCAGACGGGTTCCATGATTATGGAACAATTTTGGTTGGTTGGGTTGATTTCTTTGAATGTAATTGGGGAAGACAACATTACTTAGAGAGGAATAACGTTTACGTGTTCATTGTTTTCTTTAATTCATTATCTATTTCTCAAGTTTCGCTTTTGTTCACGGGACGCACTCTTTTTACCACAAATTTCAACTCAGCTTGATGTAGTAACAGTTTTGATCCCCTCTATCAACTTATGTAATGATTACACATCGGCATTAGAGTTCATAAATAAGACATTACCTTTATTAGTGAAAGTAATCCTTTTTCCAAAGTTTGGACATGTATCTCATTCTCATTTGATGTTACACTCTTCTACTAGTTTCTTTTGTAGACGTGTCGGCCCAACACAAAGTCTTGAGCATTTGAGATTCCCCCTCCAAATTAAGGTCAACAACAACAAAATTCAACATTTATAATTAGTTTTAATATAGATTTTAAAAATCAATTTAATTTAACAAGATGAAATTTGTCCATAATCAAATTGTAAATTTATTTGTTAGACTTTCTGTACAAGCAACCATAATAAACGAACAGTTTCGGTACACAATTATACGACCGTTGATGGATCTATTTTTATGGGAGTGAAGACTTCAACCACCCGTTTTCCTACATGATTGATGAATAGCAAGAAATGATTATTGAGGCACATAAATAACATATCAACCGCCGAGGTTTTTACGTATCTTGGCAACATCCTGTGGACTGATTTGAAACGCCTTTTCCAATACCACGTCAGGAATGGGCGGACTCGACACGAAAGCGGCCCTCGAAGCTATTTGTGCGCCCGGGTTTGGCTACTCAGGCCCGAAATAGCCAAAGCCGGCTTCTTCAAGTCCGTGTTATAAAGAAAATGGATCAGTCCTCTCGGAAAAACGAACGAGTCACCGGGCTCAAGCCTCTGACTGAAGAGACGATTAGAGGTATCCACAAAACCCACTAGAATAACGCCCTGGAGACAAATGGTGACCTCCGAGGCCCGAGGGTGCGAATGTGGCGGAACGAGCCCGTTACCGGCTATGTCAACACGGGCCATGGTTATGCCCATGGTGTTGATCCCGGGCAAACTCGCGAGGGTGGTGAGGGTGACACTGAAGCCGAACTGGTTCGCCTTGGTGTCGCCCGGTTTGGCTAGAGCGGAGGTGGTGAAGTGAGAGGACAAAGCTAGGGCTGGATTGAGACAGGGTGCACCATTAAGGTATAAAGGGGAATTTGTGTCTGCAATGCAGTAGTCTTGGAGTAGGTCCGGGTCGGGTTTAGCTAGACCCGTTAGGAGAGTGAGACAGAGGAATAATTGAAGAAACAAAGAGGAGGTATCCATGTTGAAGTTTGTTATATAACGCGAGTTTGAAGAAGCAGATATATATAGTGGAATTTGAGACGGTGATTGTACGTGGAAGTGGAGATTGAGTAGCTTAAGAGGCATTGGAGGAGGAAGAAACAAGGCAAGTAAGAGAGCCCCTATGGGACATGACATGGGTTATATATGTTCCAAATTCACACCACCCACCATTCGTGTTTTCGACTCTTATATCCATATTGTTTTTAATGTTACAATTTACATAGAAGAGTAGACTTGGATGAGCAGTTTGAGCTCCACTGCATATTTAATATACTTAATTCGAGTAAACATGTGACCATATAAGATATCAAATAGACATATAGATTTAGGATCGTTGGCTGCGTGAAAATATATTACTAAAATTGACTCATTTTTTTCAACTAATATATTATCATTTCCTATTGTTAATGTCAAAATTTTACATTGTATAATTGAATTTTATCTCATTATTAATATATCCAATAAGTAAACATAAAACGGTTTTGTATTTTCAATTATAGAATTAAATTAAAATTTAATTTATACGATTATAACGATCCAAAGTTTATGTATTATATTATATATTAAATCCAATTTCATATATAATTTTGAGATCAAATCCTTTACTTTGTTTTATAAAATTTGAATTACAACAAGCCTATAAACATGGTTTTCATAACCGGACCGGTTAACGAACCGGTCATGCTACCGATTCACTGGTTCAACCGGTCGAACAGATCCGACCGGTCGGAAGAACCGGAAGATGTCATAATTATTTAAAAAATTAAATAAAAATACCAAAAATATTTAATAAAAAATAATTTTTATATCACAAGTCATATTCAAAGCAAGTCATAACATACATAAGTTAAAAACCATAAAATCAAGTGAAACAAAATGATTCAAATTAACTACAATATAATATTTAAGGTAAAAGATATTAAATAATAAATATAATTATATAACTATAATCAAAAAATAAATTTATGGCTAAAAAAATCATAACAAAATAATATTGTTTGGTTTAATTTTTTTTAAAAAAACAATCACACATGGCTAAGAAACATAGAAGAACATCCCAAAAATCTAAAGAGTAAAAATATGAGAACAAAACAATCTCACATAGCTAAAAAACATTGAAGAGCGTCCCAACTAACTTCTATAAATAATAGAGGTAAGTTGGTAGTCAAAATCATAAAGTTTTTTTGTAAGAACTATTCTTTCACTTCAATCAAGCTCGAATTTTAAGCTTCAATCGAGCTTCTAAATTTTGTTTGAGTTCAAGCCTTTTCGAGTTCAAGTTTCAATATTATATTTCGAGTTCGAGTTGAACTTGATAATTTTTAGCTCGTGAGTTTGAGTCGAGTTGAGCTTACTTTTAAAATTTTCAAGTTCAAGTAGAGCTCAGCAATACTCGAGTTCGACTTGGTTCGTTTAACAAACGACTTTGGTTTAATTTTAAAAAAAAATTAACGATTTTTCCCCTTTTTTCCGATTTTCAGCCGGTCTGATTCGAATGATTCAACGGTTCTGGTCAGTTCACTAATAACGGTTCAACCGGTATATATTAAACCAGACTGACAACAATTTTTGATTGAACCGGTTGAACCGGCCGATCCGATCTGGTTTCAAAACACTGCCTATAAAACAAATATGAAAAATGAAGTGTGGCGATTCACGTAGCAGGAGCAAGACAATAGAATTCATCATCTTGATTAAACGAAACTGAAAAGTCAAAAGTCCAGATCCCACCGCCGCCGCCGCCACCACAACAACCACACGTCTCCTTTAAGGAAGATTTAGTGATATTTAATCAGCGAGTGGTTGGCTTCCTTACCTCTTTTACTTCACTACTTTCCAATGTGGACCCTTTTCTTATTATACCCGTAGGCCATATCCATTGTTTCATTTTCCAACAATCTTCTCATCATCACTCTTTTCCCCCATATTTTTGACTCAATTGTTTCCCAGTTACCATCATTTAAATTATTGTCCATATTCCGTACTTACATCTCCTCTTTTTTTACTCAATTGCCCAACTTTTCATTTTCACTTTAAGGCTTCAAGCTTCAAGCTTCAAGCTTCAAGCTTCAAGCTTCAAGCTTCAAGCTTCAAGCTTCAAGCTTCAAGCTTCAAGCTTCAAGCTTCAAGCTTCAAGCTTCAAGCTTCAAGCTTCAAGCTTCAAGCTTCAAGCTTCAAGCTTCAAGCTTTCATTATTGTCCCAACTCCCAACTAACATTTTAGCCGAAGAGTCATATCTCTACCTTAAAAACAAGTCTTTTCCCACGGTAATTATTCATGATAATATGATATTAATAAGTTTCAAAGGTAAATAATCTTTGGGTTCTTTTTTTTTTTTGGCTGTGATTGAGTTTTTTTTTCCTATTTGGTACTTTCCCCCAAGTACTAGAAAGACGGTTTTTAATTTTTAATATGAGAGCTTAAATCATACACAGACACGACCACATGCCTTCCATTATTGGTTTTATTTTAAGTAAGAATGGTAGAATGATTCGAATTCGACGGATAAACTTGAAATTTAGTCAAGTTCGGGTTGGATATCAAGGAATTTTTCGGGTTTAAGTTTGGATTTGAGGCAAGGTATCCCGCCCCGACCCACCCCGATTAATTATATATATAATATTTTATATTTTTATATTAATTATATATATAATATTTTCAGATTCGAGTTTAGATATAATATTTCAGATCAGATTTGAAAACGAGACAAAAAAATTCTCGACAGTACGCCCGATAAAATATTCGTCGGGATCAAATCGGAGTCGAGGACGAGGATTAAGTTCGGGGACGGGACGAGCAAAACCCGCCCCCGTTGCCATTCCTACTTTTAAGTGTCATATTTGGTTTTCAATTTCTTCGAGGCTTCTATTGTCTTTATTTTGAGTTGCTTCTTCTTTGGGTCCTTTTTTTAGTGATCCAATGGATATGGACAAATGAAGCCAGCTGCGAGGCTTGATGTGCTAGCTTTGTTAGCTTGAAGTTTTCTTTGTGTGTGTGTTTTTTTTTTGAGAATTTAATGGCTTCAAGTAAAGAATTGAAGGTACTACACTTTGTACTTTTGGTTTTTAATTAACCTTCTTCCATTATTGTTGCTTGGATTTAATTTTGTTTTGTTATTATTGGGTTGTTGATTGAGTTTTGCACTTCATAATTGCTTAAATTCTGTTTGTTCATTCAGAAAATGCTCTCAATTTTGTTTTTTTAAATGTGTATAGATAAAGGCAATGGGTTCTTCAAATCCAGCTCTTGAAGTGTCGCGGTTTCTTTTGGTAGATTTGAGAATGATTCCTTGGGAAAAATGGTCGACTTTCTCCCCAAAAAAATACTTGGAAGAGGTCCGAGAAATGTGCAACTCCGGGATCGGTTTCTCAGAAAAAAGCTTACTTTGAAGAACATTACAAGAAGATTGCTGCAAGGAAAGCTGAGCTACAGGCTCAAGAGAAGTCTGATGAAGGAGATCCGACTCGTAAATCCGATGGCGATGAAGGCGATAAGCAAGAAATTTACTTGCTAAGTGAGGCTAATGATATTCAGGAGACTAAGTCAAGATTCATGGGTTGAGGAATTGAAGGAGAGAATAAATGGCATGGTAGAAAATGAAGAGAAATAAGAAACAATGGGTAGCATAGTTAAAAGTCCTGTGTTAAATGAACCAGAAGAAACTGCTCCTGAAGAAGAAGCCTTTTTGG